GTGCGTGCGTGCGTGTGTGTGTGTGTGTGTGTACTACTCAACAAAATTAAAGAATCACTGTGTAAAAATAGGAAAATTTTGAGATGGAATAACTTCGTGAAAAATTATCGCATTGAGATGTTGAAAAAAGCATTTTACAGCTTGAAATCTCTACTATTCAGACCGATACTTTAGAAAACGGTCTCACTGATATTTTATGGAATTACACAAACACAAATAAAGATGCATCAAATCTCAAAATTTGCGAAATTTCACATCGCGAATTAAAAATTGCACACAAATGCAGTTTACAGCATGCAAAAAAGTGAATCTTTACCTTTAATTTGCTTGTTTATCGAGTTTTGTGCGATTGTTTTTCATCGAGTTATTCAACATTGAAGAAAAAAAGGTCGCTTTTGCTTCAATACTATAGGATGACTCCGGCAATACGCCTCGCTGGGATTTACGCCGCAGAAGTCAGAAAAAATAGAAGTGGGTAATTTTCCCGCAACTACTCTGTTATATGCCTTTATGTTATATTAGTATTGTGTTATGATTTCAGCTTCTTACTGTTAATATTAATGAAATTATTGTGAGTTGAATCGATTTGTCACTGTAATAAGTAGCGCCATCATAAATTATAATCTACATAAAATGATTATTGTAGGGCGTGTAAAAGACCTAGTGGTTATTTCGTGATACATACGTGTAGAAGAATAGTAAAGCATATTTTATAGCAAAATACAAGTGCTTTACTTTCGTATTCTTTGTTTAGTTTGCTGTCTTGTATATCCCACCTGTTTGGGATATATGGCATTTTTAGCGGATGGGATTTATGCCCAAAGCATACAAAGTGCGCAGATTGAATTCATTGCACTAAATGCAATGAATATATTACAAGAAATATGTACCTCATGTCATAACACTTGTAATGTAAATTCTTTCGCATTATGTATAAAAATATATGTTTCTTTCTTTTTTTGATATTAGGAAAATATTTAGAAGAATTATTGGAAAATAATTAGAAGAACAATTTTTGCTTTGTTTTTGAATGAAAACAACAGCATAAGGAAATGAGAAAAAGGTACATAATCATATATAATAATATATAAAAAGTATATATAATTATATATAGAATATTATATGATCTGACACAATTTTATCTTTTTGTACGAAAAATTATGTAAAAATTATTTTTTAAACTATTTTTTTAAGTATCTTATTTTTTTTATTATATATTTACATATGAACAGAAATTATACAAGAGAAAGAAAATGCGTGTCTTCTATATAACATCCCTCATTATTTCTCCTTATATCATTTATTGTCCAAAGACATTCAACTATTGCTCAGTGCATTCAACTATTGCCCGCGAGCAGCTGGGTGCCCGCGAGCAGTCCATCTGCCGATCCCTGGGGTAAGTAGTCCAACAATGAACCATGTAAATTTCAGAGGCTTATATCTCTCTCAATTATTGAGTTGAAGATCTGAATTTTGGCATACAATTTATGAATTTAGTTGACTGCATACTGTAAACAATAACTCTTAAGTTATTTTTTAAGTTTAGCCACAATTTCGATTATTTTAAAAAACGGGAAGTGCTTCATTGTGTACAAGAGGTGTGTACATACACACAATGAACCATGCTATTTTTAATAATGAACCGCATGTTTTATACTGCGAATTGTTGAGATTATTTTAGTTTTGTTATATTTTAACATGTTTATTTAGAAAATAGATAATTATGAAATGATAAGGATTCACTAGGCCGACCGCTGCGTTTTTCTGTCAGATTCTTTCGTTTTGAGTGATAACGCGTCTAATGAATATATTTTTATTAAGATTTTAAATGAGGGGGGGGAGGGACGTATTCTAAATAATTACCACAATGAATTATTATTTTGAAGGTTATCGTAAAAAAAGGTTATGTTCATGGTTCATTGTTCACTACATCAAAATGATTTATTGTAGACCAGGGCAGCTCAACGCGTGCCACCGAAGGCACGGAGCTTTTCCCACTCACGCACTCATTGGCTGCGTTCAGCAGACTCAACGGTTTTGCCAAAACTAATAGCGAATTCGATTGGACGCACTCAGTGCGCACTGGTGCACATTAAAGCCGTTGTACACGAAATAACGTAAAAATATGTTTATAAATAAACATAGAGATCGATTAAATCGTGAAATACTTAATACATTTTATTGTACTATTAGGTAAAATATGTATTTCATAATTCGAAATATTTTCATTTCATTTTTATACTTAAATTAAATTAGTGTACAACGGCTTTAATATGCATCAGTGCGCACTAGTTCTTCCAATCGAATTCGCCATAAGTCTTCTTGAGTTTTGCAACCGTTTTATGATTGTCTGCTGAGATAGGACCATTCTTCTAGATCTAAAAGTATGATCCAATTAGCGCGAAGGAAACTTCCAACAGTTGCAAAACAAACGTTCTGCTGAACGCAGCCATAGTTTCTCTCACCGTTTCGCCGGCGCCGTAATGCTGTTCCCCGCCGTCGCGTTCAGCACTCTTCAACGATATTAAACTACATTAATATTATAACTGTGTATAAATAATGTGTAACAAATTTGTTTTAAAATAGGAATGAAATAATCTTAACAAAGAAAAAAATAACACATTACAAAAAAAGTCAATTAAGAATTTATTATAGAAACAGCTTTTGAAAAATGCTCCGTCAGGGGCTTACATTCCAATTCTAATCACAATTACAACTTAACGTAGCCTGTGCGACATTGAATTTTAATGTTCAGAGAGAGAGATTGTGCGAATGAGTTTAATAATATTTTCTATCAAATTTCTCATAAAGAGAGAAACACGATTATTCTTCTTATATTCAACTGTAATTGGTCAATTTGTTACTCTTAATACAGTCTCATCTATTGCTGCTATTGCCATTGTAGACCATGCATAAGATTGGATTCACTACTGGCCTTACGGTCTCTACCGTGATTGGCCAATTCGTTTACTGATTACATCTTACAGCCTTACGTTTTTGCATGTGCCATGGGTTTTACTGTACCGCGTAGAGTCCCTAGAATACAGAGTCCGGCAATCGACCCCTAAAAATGGCGGACACATCTACGCGTTTCTGCCACGTATTTGCACTAGTGCAACATAAATGAGAGATAGAACAAGTCCTTGCACAGAAGTTGTAAGAAACATAAATAAGTAAATAAAGCAAAATACTATAGTATAATAAATACAAAATACCGAAATTATACGTAAGAAATACGTATAATTTCGGTATTTTGTAAGAAAAATGAGCATAAAATGTATAATTCACGTTTTAACAAAAAATTAATGTGTTATAAATATAGAAAATAGAATAGCAATATGAATAGTAAATATTTATAAGTATAAAAATACTCTATGCAATAATTCTCTGTATTTACAAGATACACAATGCCATACTGTTGCGTCATAAAATGTTGCAATTCATGGAAGATAGGCAACACAATGCATGTTCTTCCAAAAAATTGAGAAAGAGACGACAGCAATGGATCAGAAATATAGGAAGATATGATTTGGATCCTGCAAAGAATTATTTTGTAATTATTTTGTAACGTAAGTACTATATGTGTATATTTTGATCTCTTGAGCACATGATCTCTTCCCTTATTTCATTGTATCCTTTTTAAACTGTGTGTATTCCCGCTTGTGTGGTGATTGGTTCCGCTATTTTTAGGGGGGGGGGGTCTGACTTCTGATCCAATAAAAAGAGTTCTACGGGTCGCCAGACTCTGTATTCTAGGGACACTAATGTAAGTGGGAATAAAATATGGTTGCGCCATATTCTTGCAACATCGTCATCAACCAATCCCGTAGCGATTTCAATTCGCGCATCTCTTACTTGAGGATCTCTAGGTTGACTGCACTGAATGCCGAACCGTCGGAAAAGGAGCGAGAGGGCAAAGAATTAGAGAAAGATACTTGCAAACTGCACCCCATGTTATCCTTCCACCATGGTGTAAACGCGCATGTAAACGTAGCCACATGGCCACAGTCAGCGCAGCGGAAGTGTCGTTCATCTATAATTTGTTGCTTATTAAAAATTGCGAAATATATATTTAGTTGGCTCAGGGATCGTATTTATTTTGTTGAGCATGGATTACAAGGATGAGCAGATCAATGAGATTGAGGCTTTGGAGTCGATTTATTGCGGGGAATTGGAGAGTATGTGTTATTAAAATTCTAACCTATAATCCAATGTTAAAAGGTGACCCTACACGGTCAAGTAAAGTGAAATATATTGTTAATAATACTGATCGTGTAAGGTTGTAAAAATCTTGTTACTGTCAGTATTACTGATTCAATGCTACTGATCGCTGATTGACAGTAACAACATTTTCAGTATTTTTACAACCTTACACGATCAATATTATTAACAATATATTTCATTTTAGTTTTACGTACATTATCTATTGCACTGTGACATACTGTGACATAGATCCTAATAAAGCAATACTGATACTCGAGAAAAAATCCAGATCATTGTCAGTATTTATTAACTCTTTATACACACCTTTGGATCATTTGTGTCCTGAGCTTTCTTTTTTTTTTTTAAATACTAAGAGGACCTGGTAAAGTACCAGTCTCTTTTCTATTCCTAAAAATAGTTTGGCATCTAGAGACAAGTTTTATGCATTGCCGGCCTCAATTCGTACATATTCTTTAACTCTGAAGAATAACTCTGAAGTTCGTCTCTAGGTCACAAATGATCTATCGTGTGTATGTACATTTTTGTAACTAAAAAAATTTTTTCTTTTTTTTTCTTTATTTTTAACTAATTCTTGTTTGTATTGCGGGAATATTTTGTGAATTATTAAAAAAAGAATTTAACCCTAGAACAACATATTAGCCCTTAATAAACAATGGCTGCAATCAGCAGAAAAAGCAGCTTTGTAATTGTTGTAAAATTCTTTAATATGGTTGGTCTTGCCCTTAGTTCTTCATTGGATCTAAATGTACAAATCAATCATATTCAAGAATTTTACAACAGTTGCAAAGCTGCTTTCTCTGCTGAACACAACCAATGGTTTTTGGCATCTTTGTGTTAAATGTTGTCTGTAATATTATATATTATGTTGTCTGTAATCTTATAAAGAACATTTTCCTATAAATTATAATATTTTTTTTAACACAATAGCAATAATAAAATGCATTGTTTAAAATATAAATGCAATATATCTTCAATTTTTAGCCATTCATGCATATTAAAAAACTATTTTCAGGTTACTAAATAACTAAATTTTTTGGACAGCCGACATTTGAACTATATTTTCTTTTGTGTTTGGAATATCAACTTTAAGATATTGAAACATATTTATCTTTTTAAACATTTTTATTTCAGAATTTTACATTTTTGTATGAAAAAGTATATTTTTTTCATTTTGTTATTAAAATGTTAACTATATTTAGTTATAACAAATTATATACAATTTGTTATAAATATACAACTTTACAAATACTTTCTAAACATGTCAAAATATGCGTAAAAATCGTTTAATAATTCTTATATACTTGTAAAAGTGATGAAAATTAATCCAGAACACGAATGACTAAACATGTGTAGGAAGGGTGTCCAAAACCAAGGTGTGCACTCAAGGTTATTATTGACCATGTATTATTGACCATGTACAGTCACCTCAAGGCAGATGAGATTTATAACCTATATAATACTGAATTTTATAATGGGTGCATTCAGTACTACGACCGCTCACTGAGTGCTCAGTGAGCTTTTAAATCTGTTTGGTCTATATTTTTAGTTCTAATAGAATATGCCAATCAGATACAAGAGCTCATTAAGCGCTCAGTGAGCGGTTATAGTACTGAATGCACCCATTGAATTACTGTTTACCATGAATAATACATGCGTGTGTACATTATACAGTTTTAGCGACAGAACCGTTCTATATATTTGCTATACCGATTAAAACAGAAGAATATGAACCAGAAACTGGCAACGGCCTCAGTTGTCAGTTAGAATTTACATATACATCCAAATATCCAGATGAGCCACTGCTTATATCAATTACAGAGCAAGAAAATTTTGAGGATGGCGACGAGAAGTTGAAGGCACATCTGATAGAACAGATGAATGAAAATCTTGGAATGGTGATGGTTTTTACGTTGGTTAGCACAGCTCAAGAATGGCTTAATGTACAATGGGACAAGATAAAATTGAAGAGAGAAGAGAATGCTGCACAAAAGCTGAAAGAGGAAGAAGAAGCAGAAAGGGTAAAATATTCTAAATAGATCTAAATAGATGATAATTTTAATATCTTTTTTTCATATATAGAGACGATTTGAGGGAACTCGTGTAACAGTGGAATCTTTCTTAAACTGGAAAGAAATGTTTGATGAAGAAATGGGCTATACAAAACGGAAAGAATTGACAGATCGCGAGGGAAAAAAATTAACAGGCAGGGAATTATTTATGACTGATAAGACTCTGGATCAATCAGATCTTAAATTTTTAGATGATGGTAATTTATTGTTTTTTTTATTATTTGACTCGCATTCCAAAAGATACTGATATTGCATGTCACATGTTATGCAATTTTGATCAAATATAGGTGATGCTGTAAAAGTGGATGAGAGTTTGTTCCAAAATCTGGATGACTTAGATTTAGATGATGATGAAGATGACCCAGATTATGATCCAAATATCTCGGATAATAGTGCCTAAACAAGTTTGATTCAGTAACTACCAAAGTGATGCATAGAACAAATTGAACAAGAATTTATTAAATTATTAAAAAAAAAAGGAAAAATGAGTATGTATATAAATAAGTAAATATATATATATATATATACAGAGTGTCCAGCAATTATTGATAAACCGCTTTTGTGTAGATAAAGCGGATTAAACTGAGTCGAAAAGTCCTCTACCATTTTGCATTTTTTGCATTAGTTAACGAGTTATTAATTTATGAAAAAATAGCCCATCTTATCGCCGCGCGGCTAGATAAAGAAAGTCAGAGAGATGCACGTTCGTCATCGCTAAGCATGTTGTTTATAAGTGACATTAGCATTAACGTGCCTAGCGACGGTGAACGCGCTTGCATTTGGCGGTATGCCGGGCGAATTTAGTTATTTTCATAAATTAATATCTCGTTACCCCGAACCTAGATTTTTAAGCCTTAAGCCATAAGAAATGGACAAATTATAGTCAATTCACAATATAACCAGTAGGGATACTTTATGTCGATACCCCTTTGATCTCCGTGCCGAGTCACGTGAGCAGCCGCCATGTTAACATTTAAAAAATCCAGGATCGAATAGAGAATATAATGCCCCATAAGTAATAATGTAGTCACAATTTAAAAAATTTTACAAAAACAAAATAATACACAAATTAATGCAAAAATAACAAAAACTAAGAATAAATCAAGTATCAAACTTATTTAAACTAAATAGTAATTATAAAAGAAACATTTTTGTTAGTTAACTTATCTTTCGATATTTTTAGGATAGCGAAAAAAAGTGCATTGTATATTTTTACTATTATTACTTCATTGGTTAATACTGCACATAACATAACTTTTCTTTATTTTATCCATTTTTTAATAAATATTTAAAGCAGGTCCACAAACTGTCCAGTGCATTCGTTTACCCAGCAGTTAGCGTAGAAGTATTACCTTATCCTTGTTGTTCACCGAGTGTTAAACAAGGATTGAATACAAGGATGATGCTCTGCGCTAACCGCTGCGTAAACGAATGTAGACGTCTTCTTCTCTAGATTTGTTAGATTTGTTCGCAAGCTCCAACATGCTCCTATCATAGGTCCTACTCACTCTATCAAGCGCGTTTGGAATGAGAAAGAGCTATGGTAGGAGCATATTGGAACATGTTGGAGCACGCGACGCGACAAACCTGTGTACATACATATAACATATATGTACGTTACTGTCGTCTTGCATTTCATTGGATCCGGCCCAAAACAAAAGCTGCGCAGCCATATCTGCGCGAACCCACATTTTTGTCGCGAGTGTCCTACTGGTTATACTGTGGTCAATTATTCTCCTCGCATTCGACTGTAACCCCGGATCTATAATAAGTGTTTTAAGCCTTAAGTCGTAAGAAATTGACCAATTACAGTCGAATTCGAGGAGAATAATCGACTATGATTCGTCCATTTCTTGTGACTTAAGGCTTAAAACACCTATTGTAAATCCGGACTTAACCATTGTGAAAATTGTAAAATGGTAGAGGACTTTTCGATTCAATTTAGTCTGCTCTATCAACACGAGCGCTTTGTCAATAATTGCAGGATACTCTGTAATATATATATATATATATACACACAGGGTGTCCCATTTTAAATAATGCATTAAGATTTCTCGAAAACTATGGTCTAGTATATCTCGAAAAATACTTAATGAAAAAATATTTTATTATAGTGTTTTGAAAAGCTCTCGAGGTAAGCTACAAGAAAATGTAATGAAAAACAGAAGATTCCATTTAAAAAAAATCGACGTGACTTTGATCTGGCCTTGGCAACTCCATCCAAGGTCAAATCAATGGTACCTTCTTATGTCTCCCTCCAAACCATACAACTTTTGTTTGAAACATTTTTCCGTATCTACCATAGTTTTCGAGAAATCTTAATGCATTATTTAAAATTGGATATGTGACCACTGGACTTCTTTGTGTGGGAGTTCCTGAAACAAGAAGTTTATTCGTCAATCAACTCAAGAGAACAATTGAGAAACCGAATCGAGGCTGCAGTGCACCAAATATCACTAGATCATTGTTTGGCTGCAACACGAGCTGTCCGTACTAGATGCAATGCTTGCATTGCTGCAAGAGGCCAACATTTTGAACAATATCTACATTAAGCAAGTGAATAAATACAACTTGAATAAGTAATGAGAAAGTACAAAAATGAAAACTACGTTTTGTCTTCTTTTTTTGCGATTTTCTCCAAAACGAAGCAAAAACGAGCATTTTAGAAAAAAATCTCTACAGGACTTTTTTCTTAGTTTATCGATCCTTTACACGCTCCTGAAGTTTAGACATTTAAATTCGGGATACCCTGTATGTCTGAGACCACCAGTACACCCCTTTTATCTCGGAAACAGAGCATTTTAGAAAAAAATGTTTCAGACAAAAATTGTGAGGTTCTAAATGATCTATTCAGTGATCTGATCAGTCTGACCTTGGGTGGCGTCACCAAGATCAGAGCAACGTCACTTTGAATTTTTTAAATGGACCCTCCTATTTTTCATTGTATATTCTTGTAGCAAACCTCGAGACCTTTCCAAAACACTATAATAAAATATTTTTTCATAAAATACTATTCGAGTTATAATGTTTGAATGTTTATAGTATCGCTGGCATTAGCATTGCCCAAGATATAACACGTGGAGATTACTTAGTCAAGTAATTTAATCTCGTGTATGGGTACGCACGTATGCACACACTCAAGTTGATGACGCCACCCAAGGTCAGACTGATCAGATCACTGAATAGATCATTTAGAATCCCACAACTTTTGTCTGAAACGTTTTTTTCTAAAATGCTCTTTCCGAGATAAAAAGGGTGATCTCAGACATCTTCTATATGTATATCCGGAAAAAGACATTAAAAGTGTAAAAAAAGCGTCAAGTATATTTTGCAATTATATTCAAAATTATTTTACAAATATATTTAAAAACATAATAAAAAAATCCAAATTTTTGTAAAACTACTTTATAGCTTTATTCAAAATCATACTGAAACATAATTTCAAATATAAGCGTATGGAAAAGAAGTGAAATCAAAATGACAAAAAACCAAAAATAATGGCATAGAAAAAGAAGTGAAATCAAAATTCAAGTATATTTATTAAAATAAGTCTCACGGAATACAATGCTCTTGCATTAGGATGTAGTATGTCCTCTAAACATCCTTAGGATATCTCTTGGATACAACTGTGTGGGATAATCTCTCAATCGTAATAGACATAGGTTGCATTCCGTTTCATGCATGATGCACATGATGTCTCATTTATTTTTGTTTAATATTTGATGAACAATAAGGAGAAATAATACATTATGCGTATCATGCATGAAATGCAAGGAACGTACCTATATAGTACAGGAGACGTTTAAAATGTATAAAATATAGCAACAAATTAAAATATAACATAAAATGCAATAGATAGCATAATGAAAGATGCAAATATTGAAAAGTAATTTTTAGATCAATAACAAGCAATAAATTGTATGAGAAACAAAAAATCGAAGATGGACAAATCTCCAGCAGCAACATACTTGATGCGCCCGTTTTGTTCATAATTTCATTTATACAAATAATTCAATAAATATTTTATTAATTATGAACTATTTTGCACAAATTAAAAAATTTTATGTATTTGAGTTATTATTTTAGTATTAATATATTTCGTATTCAACAAATATACATATACAAATATTTTTCTATGAGATAATCTTAAACTTTATTAGTGTAGTAACAGAATTTGAAGTTTATTACAGTAATAATAGCAGTTATTATTTGATATAACATTATTTTTAATCTGATTATACTTGATTTATAAAGATAGGAAACTGAACATTATTTTTTTTTTTTGTAAAAACTTTAAGAAACAATGCATGTGGGATTAGAAATTCCTTTACTATCAAATAGATTCTTTATTATCTAAAAGATTTAAAAGCTACACTGAGAAAAAAAGTTGTTAACTTAACTAAATGTGTGTAGTTCGTAATGATTATTTAGTTCAAATATTTATATATTTAGATTAGCAAAATCTTGTAATTTAAAATATATTATTTGTTTGAATTAACAAATATTTGGTTGAATTAACAAATATTTGACAACCCATGACCGCTACATTTAATTGAATCAACTAATATTTTGTTGAAACAGCAACTTTTTTCTCAGTGTAGTTATATATAAAATTGATACTGATATGCATATCTTGTAATAAGTTCTGAAATTACATTGTCTATGTGTTAATATCCCTTCATAAATAGAATGAATAAATGTAATAACCTATTACATAAAAACGTATTTTATGTAACATGTTCTTTACGCCACAATGATACAAATTATTATTGTTAAGTTGTCATAAAATAGTTTATGATATAATTCAATATAATTCTCAATATATAAATAGTTTATAATATAATTGAATTCGGCTTTTGTAATACATTTCCTTGATTATTCTTCTTTATTTAGAATGCTACTTATATTAGTTTTATTGAAATATTTAAAACTTTAATTATCGATGTAAAAATCCGTTTTCAATTTCTGCGCCTCTCATTACGCTATCTATTGCATTTCGTTCTCGCATTTTAATGTGTTGTTGTACTTAATCAGAGATAGACAAAATAGTGTCCAAATCTATTTAAAATAGGAAATGCAAAATAATTGTAATTTTTTCATTTGAAAATATAAAATATAAAATGCTTTTTAGACACCTATTTGAAATGGAAAATAGAAAATGGGCATTTTTAAAATGGTTTTTAAAAATAAAAATAGTTTCTTAATAAAATTATTTTTTAAATATTTATATTCTTATATTATTTATTTTTTAATGTTTATTTCGTATTTAAATTCTTGTTTCTTATTCTTAATATTTTTTATTTATTATAAATTTTTATATAATATAAACTTTTACAAAAAAAGTTTATCTAGCAGTTGAACGTGATGCCTTAAAGAACAAATTTTTCGAAGAGGAAATCAGTCATTTTCTTTATATAAGATCTTATAATTAACCCGCCAAACGAAAAAAGACATTCTACTTAGAGCTGAGCTTAGGAAGCATGTATCATACTTGAGAAAATTTTTTTACTGTTGGATAGATATTAACATTGAAAATGTTGTGTCTCTTCTATCCCTCACAAAAAATCGTTACATAAATTATTACAGTATAACAAAAAATGAGAGAGAAATGAAATCTTTAAATTGCGCCAGTTGAAAGGAACATATTTTCTTGCAACATATAACATATACTTTATTTAAAAAAGTAAAAGTACAAAAAACTTGGCGCTGCTAGACAAATTCACTGCTTTAAAAGTACACAAATTCTTTACATTAACAGTGAATTAATTTGTGTTTTTAAAGCAGTGAATTTATATTTTTAAAGCAGTGAATTTGTGTTTCTAAAGTAGTGAATTTGTGTTTGTGAAGCAGAGAATTTGTTTTTAAAGCAGTGAATTTGTGTAATTAAAGCAGGACGTATACATAGCGCTATATTGAGTCGGGATGACAGATATCTTAATCTCTAAACTCTCGAACTTTAACGCTTAATCTCGATTCGCGAAGCCGACCGCCGCATTTTTTTGCCAGATTCTTTCATTTTGAGTGAAAACGCATCGAATGATTCTATTTTTATTAAGATTTTAGATGAGGTACGGTATTCTAAATAATTACCATATAATATAATATAAAAAATATTTTATTATAGTAACTCTAACCCTGAGCGGCCGAGATCGCCAAGAAAACACATTTTTGGTTTTCGGTCGCTTTGAAAACAAACGACCGACGTCAGCACGCGCTCTCCCTCGCTAACTCGCTGTTTCGTTCGCTCGTGAGCGCGCCGAAGGTTGTCGAACGCGAGAACGACAGCCTGTATTGCCGCTACGCTCGCGCAGCGCACCGACGCCCGCCGAGCCGCCGAAGCCGACCGAGCGCGGCGTCACTCGGTACAAGAGCAAGTCCATAACTTTTTAGAAAAACATAATAAAACACATTTTTTTTGATCGATTCATTTTTATTTCTCAACATAGTCTCCTTTCAGCTCGATACACTTGATCCAAGGATTCTCCAACTTTTTCAAGCTGTCCGAATAATATGATTTGTCCAACCCTTCAAAATAAGCCTCTGTTTCAACGATGAGCTGCTCTCTGGTGGTGAATCTCTTTCCTCCGAACCATTTCTTCAGGTTTGGAAACAGGAAATAGTCGCAGGGGGCTAAATCTGGCGAATATGCTGGATGGGGAAGCAATTCGTAGCGGAATTCGTTAAATTTGGCCATCGGTGCCGGGCACGTGTGAACCCGTGCATTGTCTTGATGGAAGAGCATTTTCTTCTTCGCCAAATGGGGACGTTTTTTCTTTAAAATGTTGTTGAAACGGTCCAATAAGGCTGCGTAATAATCACCATTGATCGTTTGCTTCGACGGAAGGTAATCGATATGAATTATACCGCGTGAATCCCAAAAAATTGTGGCCATCATCTTTCCGGTCGACTTGAGGTCTTCGCCTTCTTCGGAGCTGGTTCACCCAGTGAAGTCCATTGTTTTGACTGTTCCTTCGTTTATTTTAAGATTTTAAGATTTTAGAAGAACATATTCATTATAGTGCTATATTGAGTCGGGGTGATAGATATCTTAACCTCTAAAGTCTTCAATTTTAACGTTTAATAACTCAATTCACGAGGCCGACCACATTGTTTGCCACATTCTTTCGTTTTGAGTGAAAACACGTCGAATGAGTATATTTTTATTAAGATTTTAGATGGAGAGAGAGAGAGAGAGAGAGAGAGAGAGAGAGGGGGGGGTATTCTAAATAATTCTGAGCGTTCGCAGCTATTGGTGTTTTCTTCTAGATTATCCAATAGCAGTGAGCGCTCACGAATCCGTTCCGCAACAGTTGAATCTGCTGAATGCGACTTTTCATGCAAGTTCAGTTAAGTACTCGAAGGTATCATTAAGTAACACTCAAAGGTAGACTTAGCACTTCACATTTATTCTCGTTAAACACAGAAAATAAAGGACTTTAACAAATAATAATAATAATAATTGCAATTACAAAAGATATCACAACTTGTCCGATTATATCCGCAAACCTGTATTCTCACAATCTCCTTTTAATTCCGCAAGCAACGGTTGAGTCTAGAATGTTCGCGAACAATGGACTCCGCAAGCAATGGATAGCAATTTTATTTCCGCAACGACCGAGAGAACAGAACTCTCAGTTGTTCTCGTGAGCGGTGTTATATAGGTCACAGAATTCAAGAATGTTTTCGAATAATGAATAATATTCTAGACCGGAAATACGTAAGTATACATGTTTTGAATTAACAGCTTCTTTATCACAATTGAATTATAGCTTTGTTGTAATTTGCAGGCACAATGTAACCTTGATTCGAGCATTCAATTGGTTGCGCCGCTTTTTGCCGCTCCGAGGGATTCGCTGATGTCGCAACTATCGATTGACATCGACAATTGCCGAGATCTGCGCGCATTGGTGCGCGCTATCTCGCACTATGTGACGTGTCTGCGGCGATAATACGGCTCTTGCGGAGACAATAATAACCTTAATGATCGCGCTACCGACCGCGATCATGCTTTAAACAGCGACCAATGATATTTTGAAGGAGAATTAAATAATTACTATTATGCTTTGATTGAAAAGAAAAGTGTCTTTGAATGACTTGTGATAATAATTTCTTTTAAAAAGAATTAAAGACACTTGGATTGGAATAAGAAGATCCTTCAATAGGAATACAAAAATACGTAGGTTTCATTGTATAAAAGTTAAAGATAGCACCATTTGGATTATATTCTTTATTTAATTTGGTACAGAATTTAACTTGCCAGTTGTTGATACCAAATCTTTTATACAAATGATACATACCATTAAAGTTAAGTAAATAATAAAAATAGTATCACTTGGGTTTTATTATACTTTTCAATTTGTTACAATAAAAATAGTACCATTTGGGTTTTATAATTTGATAAAATAGTTTTTTTCGATGAGCATGTACTCTTAGCGTCTTTTTTTACCTCTTTCATTAATAACAACGTAGCTAGTCACACAAATGCATTTATTAAGTAAACAGATTTTTAATTGTAAATAGAATTTATTAAATATTGTATCGTTACATTGTATCGAAGATTAATTATCTAATTAATTGTTTGTAACATATAGTAATTAAATATTAAATTATCAAGTAAAACAAATTATTTTTTTGTATCTTATTTTTTATTAAATTATTAGTCTTGTGTAACATTGACATGATTTCTGAGATTGCATAGAAAATAAACAGAATTTTATTTTATAAGGTAATACCAGTGACATTAATTACATTTTTTACTTATTTTAATATAAAGACCCATATAATAAGTTTTTTTAAACGCACACACGCACACACACATACACGATTAAACGACTAAATAATTACTTTATTATTTAGTCATTTAATTTAAAAAAGACAAATTTATTTGAATAAAATCTAAATAAAAGAAACTTTTTATACAGATACATAAAACACATAATTTCATAAATATTATTTTATACTGCGTATCTTTCTATACCCTTGTGTTTTATGTAAGTGTGTACATATGTATGTGGACACACACATGTATTTATATATATATATATATATTATATAAAATTATAAAACTATTTTATTAATAAGCTCTTATTCTATCTTCTGTTCATTCATATTTTACTCTACACGATGCAATGTATGACTTTTTAGTGGACAAATCATGCCATCCCACTGGACCTCTCTCACAATCGGCACAAGCTAGGTACTTGATATTGCCTACTGTGTGTGACACACCAATATTTTCGAAAGTATACATATCTTCTATTAACCAGTAAGCAGAAATTGTTTCTGATTGATTAGCTTTGTCCTCTGCTTTGCTATGGATATAAGGTAATGCAAACTGAAAAAAAAATGTTTATATTTATTATATCGTTTAACCAAAAAAAAAAATACCAGAATAAAACGTCATTTTCTATAGTTTTTTAGATACTGAATGCGAATTCGATCTCCAAATTGTCCTAACGCGTCACAATTTTGATAAATTTACATTTAAAGTTGCAAAAGAACTATTTTAGTACGTTTTGTCATATAATTATGATATATTACATACTATAGAAAAATTTATTATAATTAAAATGAAGCCTGTTGTTAGGACTCTCAATCTTCAAATATAGGGTCTGTTACAAAAAAGTGAATTATATTAGGTCATTGACAATTTACCAAATATGTTTTCCAATTATGTTTAGTTAAACATAATTTTTTGGGGCCATTCAAAAATCATGAGACACCTATACATTTTGCAACAATTCAAACATTTTTCAAGTTTTAACATCCGCTATATTGAATTTATCATTTTGAATTTGACAATTTTAACATTGAATTTGTATTCAACGGTTTAAAAAAAACTCTTTAAGTTTAAATTAATATAGTTAAAAACTATTTCTGAAATCACACAACACACACACCAATTACTTAATTCACAGCTTTTCTGCACAGACCCCATATTAAATTATGACTATCTTATTAACCGTAGCCGACATTAAAAAATTCTTTTGAAAATTGAAAGTCCTAACAACATACTTAATTTTAATTGCAATAAAATTTCTTCAAAACGTCATATATTATAGTTATAATATACCAAAATACATAAACATCGCCTTTTTTTGCAAACTGAATTGCAAAATAATATGATGAAAAATTTAACTTGGCGTTAGTTATTCATTTGTGAAATTTAACTTGGCATCACAGTTATTGATACCAAATCGAAATAACTTGATAAAGAAGGTACCACTTGGGTTTTACTTTCTAATTTGATAAATGGGATTTAACTTGGCGCTAATTGTTGATATCAAATCTTTTATATTTTTATAAACGATGTAAATGATACATATCAAGTTAACTAAACCATCACCCCCATCGTCTATCGTAGAATAGTAATACGACGATGGTCATCTGTATTCAATAAAAAAATTTTTTTAAGAAAAATTAAAGTTACTATTATTTTTTCTTTAGGAGAGAGAAATAAGAAGATAGTAAAATTTAACTTGGTGCCAGTTGTTGATATCAAATCTTTTATATAAATAATACCATTAAATTTAATAATTTAACTTGGCACCAATTGTTGATATCAAACCTTTTATATGTATAAGGATATAAAGAATTTCATCAACCCGATTAATCCTAATCGGTGATTAACTGTCAACCATAAGTAGTCAATTCTACTAAACAGCAAATGCGATTAGTCATCAGTTCCACGGCCGATTAAGTAATTGACGTTGGTGGAAACCGGCCTAAATGGTGGTTCTTTATGAGAAGCACGCACGCTTAGCGCTTTTTTTACCTTTTTTTAAAAAGGTAAGTTTGCATACGATCAAAGTTACTATTACTTTCTTTTTGGAAAATAAGAGGATAGTAAAATTTAACTTGGTAGAATTTAACTTGGTAAAATTTAACTTGGCGTCAATTGTTGATATCAAATCGTTTTTTTAACTCGATATCAGCTGTTGATATTATACCTTTTATTTTTATGTAAATGATACATCATAATAAGGTTACTATTACTTTTTCTTTAGGAGATTGAAATAAGAAGATGTACTGTTAAAAATGTCATGAAATTTAATATACTGTTAAGTTACACAAATTAAATTCAATATTATTATATTAAATTAAATTTAATGTATCTGCAACTGAAAATTAAAAAATCCCACCGCTACCCCATCGTTTTATAATTATGATATAAAAATGTCAAGGTATATCAAACTATATATGTATCTTTTAAATTTTATCATTTTGATTTTATAAATGATATATATATATATCATTAAAGTAAATTTAAAAATCTTACCACTACCCCCATCGTCTTATAAAAGTAATATAAAAATATCAAAATAAATATCACAAGACACACATACACACACACACACACACACACACACACACACACACACACACACACACACACACACACACACACACACGATGACCATCTATATTTAATTTGATAGAATTTAACTTAGCGTCAATTGATGATATCAAATCGTTTATACAAATAATACTTAAAATGTTACGGAATTTAATTTGGCGTCAGTTCAATTTTACAGAAAAACAGCAAGTGACAAAACTTGTTTCTTTTTTCTCATAGAGTTCTAAGAATTTTTTCAGAATTTTCTTATGTTGATAAAAACAATCAATAAGAAAATACAGTATTAAAAATTCTGAAAAAATTCTTAGAGCTCTATGAAAAAAAAACAAACAATTTTTGTTTCGCTGTATTTCTGTATAAAATTGATAATACCTGAGTAAAAAATTATTGAAAACCAATATTCGGCGATATTCGGCGATTTTTAGTAAATAATATCTTCTTAACTATTGCGAAAATACGAAAATTGCAAAATGATAGAGGACTTTTCGACTCACAAGGAAAAGGACGCAACGGTCCCCCTCCGACCTTAATGACCTTTTAGTATGTTTTTTTCTAGACAAAAATAAGCGACACGTATTTTTTTATACGTGCCCATACGCACTTTTAAGGGGTGAAACACCCTTTAGAAAAAAATCAGTTTTTTTCTTTCGACGAAGCGGATATCGTCGATAAGAGATAGAAAAAAATGTTTGAAATAAAAGTTACATGGTTTCAAGAGTACTTTATAATACAAAAGAAAAAAAATTTTTTAATTTTTTTTATTTGTTTATCCCCACCATTTGACTTTTTTTTAAATTTTAATTTTTTTTATAATAAAAAGAAAGATTATTTTAAGACAAATTCAACCATGTGTGGTAAAGTTATTTTCCAAAGTACCATTTTACTGGATAAATATTATCCAGTTCATGGTCCTAAACAATTTAAGAGGTTATAGCTGTCGGTCGGACACCTTGAATAATACTAAATGCCGGAGGTACTGTAATCTTCGAGCATCATAACTAAAAAAGTACTTGATGAAAAAGTATTTTATTATAGAGTTTTGGAAAGCTCTCGAGGTAAGCTACAAGAATATATAATGAAAAATAGGGGGTTCTATTTAAAAAAATCGATGTGACCTTGATCTGGCCTTGGTCATAAGGCCGATGTCACATGCAGAATAATTAGAGGAATCATATTGTGTAAAAAAATTTATATAATTCCATTTAAAAAAATGAAGTTGACCTTGAAATTCCGAAGTATCTCCACCTGAACAAAAATTATTATCATCATATGATAGTCTCCTTTACATCGTGTAATTTTGGTTATATAAATTTTTCTCTACATCTTATAGATTAAAAGATATTTCAAGTGGTAGTTATTGGGACACCCTATATATAAATTAGTTTTTGCGAGCGAGTATCTGACGATAGGTGTCAAAACGCTTGTATATCTGTGCATTAAGTGAAGCTGAATAATAACATTTTTCTACTATTTTGCAAAAAAGCCATATAAAATTTAGTTAATTAAAAAACATTGGTGAATGATCGCTCTCCAAACGATGCAAAATATTCTGCACCGCTTGGAGAGCGATCATTCGCCAATGTTTTTTAATTAAATTTTCTATGATTTCTTTGCAAAATAGTAGAAAAATGTTATGTTCAGCTCTCAACATAGTCAGATACACAAGCATTTTTTTATACCTTTTGAGGAAAAAAGTTTATATATATAACACAGTGGACACAAATTTTTCGGATAAAGCACTATAAAAAAATCCTGTTAGTACTAGGTGAGGGGAGACGGAATGTCAAAGGGTTTGCCAAGCAAGATTAGTACGATTTTTTTATTTATGAAGCTTCAAAGTTGAGTACAAAATGAATGAAAAATTGACTTATTTTTGTTTACATTATCGAATTTTTTTAGAAAACTATTATCTTGATCACATCACCGAAGCACGCATTTAGAAATATAAATAATTCTAAAAATCATTAGCTGCTGTATCTTCGATTTTATCATCTCTCTGTCACATATTTTATAAGACTTCCTGCAAATATCGCTTAACAATGCATTTAATTTTTTTCTTTTACAGCAAGTTTCCATTGGCATAGGTACTTGAAAGCATTTGCCATGTTTATCCCTGATATTCTGATGCAAGTTCAAAAGAACACGCCAAGATGTTCAGTGCTAAAGCTGAAGTAGCATTTCGAGTTGTAAGATTGTAAGGACTTGACTAGACTGCAGGAAGAACGCAAAAAAATAACCTCGACATCTCATGTTCATAACTTTAAGTAATGATTTTTTACTATATGTAATTAAATAATATATAAGATATCAAGAATATCATATTTATATTATATATATATATGTACATATTTATCAATAATTGTACACATTTGCATGCTATAAATTACAAATTTGTTTGTCCCTACTGTATATCTTTTTAAACTGTGACAAAACGATGTACTGATATCCTATATACGTATCCAGTGCACTGAACTGGCATCATCAAAATAACTCGTGCCACTTAGTGCGCACTACGCGAGTGTTGTGCGATCAAATGAACACTAGCAAAGTGCACATTGGCCAATTGAACACCCTCTTGACACTGAGTGCAGCCAGTGCACCCCAATCGAAAACGATATATAAGACTACTGATTTTCTTAAGACTAACCAAATTCAACTTTATTCCTTCCTACTAGTCGAGTTAAACGACTCGCTGTACAACTAACAACTAGTAGATGCAAAAAATCATAGTCACCCATTTAGGTTAAAACTGATTAAGACTTAAGATTTCCGACTACCAATTCATTGTAGAATCAGCTTTAGGTTATAAACGTTCGGTGTCTATGATAAAGCATAATATAGTGCATTACACAAATATATATTAATACTAGCAGCATCTATGATAATTAAATTACTAAAACACGCAACAAATAACAATCAAATAATTAATAGTCATAACATGAGATTTCGTCTCAATATTATCATACTACTATATACAGTACAAATATACTCACATCCATGTTTATCAATCTGGCAGCTCCAGCATTGAGCATTTTTGAAGGACAAAATGTACAATAGATTTTATCTTTGTTTTTGCCTTCCGTGTCTTTTTTCAATTCAATAATATCTGTCGACATCACTATTCCATAAATGTAAAATAAATGTTGGAATATAGATTCACAGACTAATTACGATTAATTGGCCTATATCACCCCCTATGGAATGAATCGAATTAATTGAGTCAAAATCGAAATATCATTCGTGATCGTGCTTCGAACTTTATCCGAGGAGAAATCGGGGCTGATCTCACTAGAATCTGATAGAGAGAATAGAGTCACTCGAGTCAGAGAACTCATCGCAGAACATGGCTGCGTTCAGCAGAACGTTTGTTTTGCAACTGTTGGAAGTTTCCTTCGCGCTAATTGGATCATACTTTTAGATCTAGAAGAATGGTCCTATCTCAGCAGACAATCATAAAACGGTTGCAAAACTGTTGAGTCTGCTGAACGCAGCCAATATAAAAGAGCGAAATCCATAGACGTTGCTCAAGATTCAAGATGATCTTAAGCTAGTGCATGAACCAATCAGAGAACCGTATTAGCAACTTAAGGCCGGAATACGCATTGAAGATTGAGATTGAAGATTGAAAAATTCAAATTTGATCAATCGAAACGAAAGGAGCTAAAATTTCTTTGACCTTATTGGTCAAATTTCAATCTTCAATCTTCAACTTTAATCTTCAATGCGTAGTCTAATTCCGGCCTAAGACATTAGGCCTGTTCTTTTTGGCTGAACTTTTACACCAGTTCATCTTTCTTCCTTTTCTCTCTAGGAGGAAAAAAGAGAAAGAAAGATGAACTGGTGCAAAAGTTCAATCAAAAAGAACAGGCCTATTGGGTGCATTCGGTGCATTCAGTACTACGACCGCTCACTGAGCGTTCAGAGAGTTCTTGTATGGTCTATATTTTTAGTTCTAACGGAATATGCCAATCAGATGCAAGAGCTTACTGAGCGCTCAGTGAGCGGTTGTAGTACTGAATGCACCCATTGCTTGAGATTAAGTCCAGATCTACAATAAGTGTTTTAAGCCTTAAGTCGTAGGAGGAAATTGACCAATTACAGTCGAATTCAAGGAGAATAATCGATTATGATTCGTTCATTTCTTATGGCTTAAGGTTTAAAACTCTATTGTAGATCCGGGGTTAGGCCGGAATCCATAGTCCGTTCTTAATCTCAAGCAAGGTCTTAAGATGCTAATACGGCTCTCTGATTCATGTATTAGCTTAAGACCATTTCGAATTTTGAGCACCGTCTATGGATTCTGCCCTAAAACCGGACTATGGATTCCGGTCTAAACTCATAGCTTCTACACATGAACAACTGTAACGAGATTCTCACTAGTGTGATGCTGGGTATTTATAGGCCATCACACGTACAAAAATTTTAGTCGGAATCGTAAGCAAATCGACCAATCACAATCAAAATTTGGATCTCGCGTTTTTAAACGCTCGACTGTAATTGGCTGATTTACTTACGACCTTACGAGAACAAATGCGGAGTCTACAATAGAAGTCGTAGAGGTCGTAGAGTCTTAAGTCGTAGAAAATTGACCAATTACAGTTGATTATTCTTCTCATATTCGACTGTGAATTTTCTATGACTTAAGACCCTACGATTGCTACGACTTCTATTGTAGACCTCGCATTAAGCCGGTTCTACATTAAGCTGGTTTTACATTAATCGCATCGCAATGTCGCAAGCGTGTCGCAAGCGTTAGGGTCCAATCAGAATCGAGCTAGTTTGATATTGATTGGATCGCAACGCTTGCGACATGGTTGCGACATTGCGATGCGACTAATGTAGAACCAGCTTTAGTCACATCGCAGCGTCGCAAGCGTGTCGCAAATGTTGCGGTCCAATCAGAGTCGAGCTAGCTTGTCGTTGATTGGACCACAACGTTTCCGATGCAACTAACGTAAAATCAGCTTTAAGGTGTATTCCGAATCGGATTAGCTTAGCTTATTTTTTTCCATAGATGTTGGCAGTTCTGTAACTAAACCGAGAAGTGTTCCGGATCCATCAGTCGTCAAACTTATATCATTTTCGATTGGGGTGCACTGGCTGCACTCGGTGTCAAGAGCGTGTTCGATTGGCAGTGCCAATGCACACTTGGCTAGTGTCACGTGTTCATTTGATCGCACGACACTCGTGTAGTGCGCACTCAGTGCGCACTAAGTGGCACGAGATATTTTGACGGTGCCACTTCAGGGCACTGGATACATATATAGGATATCAGTGCATCGTTTTGTATAAGTATAAAAGGATATATAATAGGGACAAGCAAATCTGTAATTTATAGCATGCAAATGTGTACAATTATTGATAAGTATGTACATAAAAAAATAATATATATACATGATATTCTTGATATCTTATATATTATTTAATTATATATAGTACAAAATCATTACTTAAAATTATAAATATGAGATGTCGAAATTATTTTTCTGCGTTCTTCCTGCAGTCTAATCAAGTCCTTACAATCTTACAACTGGAAATGGCATTTCAGCTTTAGCACTGAAAATCTTGGCGTGTTCTTTTGAACTTGCATTATTCAGTGCAACCCATGGAACTCGTACAGTGTTGGTGTGAATTGAGTGCGCACTGGTGTGCACTAACTTTTTCCTAATCGAAAACGCTATTAGCTACTGGCTTCTATTGCCTAGCTTACATCGTGCACTTGATACGGATACTAACTAGTAACTTTCTATTGAATTATCTTAATTTCGGCGAACCGTGTAAACATATACATGATATGTATGTTTAATTAATCATTTTAATGCATAATCTACCAATTTAGTACATCATTCTTTAAATTGCTGAAATTAAAATAACTTAATAGAAAGTTACTAGTTAATATGCGTATCAAGTGCTCGGTGTAAAAGGGGTCTATTGGTTACGAGTTCAGCCCAAGACACAATGCGAGGGAATAACGACAGCGATAGGAATAACATGATTTCAACCTATCAGAAATCGGATATATCGGAATACACAGTTTCTGATAGGTCGAAATCGTGTTATTCCTATCGCTATCGCTATTCCCTCGCATTGGGCGAGTTCAAGACAGCAAAGCGGATAGGCATGCTTACCGAGCGATTAAATATGATTGGTTGGATCTGTAAGTAACAA